ATGTTTTTGAGTGTATAAGTGTGTGTATGTGTGTGAGTGTATGCACCTAGCTAAAGCTACAATGTATTCCCCTAGCTAAAACTACAATATATGCCCCTAGCTAAAGCTACAATGTATGCCCCTCGTTGGGCGCACGTGCCAATTTCACACCAAGTTCCGCTTGAACGTTCGACCGCTCAAATTTTCCGCGTAAGGGTGATAACTCATTTTTTCCTCGCTCGTCCGAGTTTTTCATCATGAAATTATTTGGTTGGCCCAAATACATTTGCTTGACTAGACACACTGGTGTTGTCGGTCGTCGGAAACTCCAAACAACATCAGACAACATCAGACAACATCATACAACATCATCCAACATCATCCAACATAAGTCAATATTGGAAAACATCATGAGACACCATACAAAATGAACCATTCCCTTTCTGAAGTTTACATTGTCAATTTGTCTCGCCTCAATGTCACCAGCTTAAGACGCAAGTTTTTATGACCCAGTCTAATATGACAAGATAGAGGTGTATATACCTAACCGATAAAAACATCCACACAAACTGTTTAAATATATTCATAAAAACGTGACCACCACATTGACAAAACTTGGCCACAACACCCATAAAAACTTGGGCACAACACCGACAAAAACATGGCCACAACACCGACAAAAACTTGGCCACAACACCTATAAAACCTTGTCACAACACCGACAAAAACTTGGCGACAACACCTATAAAAACTTGGCCACAACACCTATAAAAACTTGGCCACAACACCTATAAAACTTGGCCGCATCACCGAGGAAACTTGGCCACAACACCGACAAAACTTGGCCACAACATCTATAAAAGCTTGGCCACAACACCGACAAAACTTGGCCACAACACCTATAAAAGCTTGGCCACAACACCGACAAAACGTGGCCACAACACCTATAAAAACTTGGCCACAACACCGACAAAACTTGGCCACAACACCTATAAAAACTTGGCCACAACACCTATAAAAACTTGGCCACAACACCTATAAAAACTTGGCCACAATACCTATAAAAACTTGGCCACAACACTGACAAAACTTGGCCACAACACCGACAAAACTTGGCCACAACATCTATAAAAGCTTGGCCACAACACCGACAAAACTTGGCCACAACACCTATAAAAACTTGGCCACAACACCGACAAAACTTGGCCACAACACCGACAAAACTTGGCCACAACATCTATAAAAACTTGGCCACAACACCGACAAAACTTGGCCACAACACCGACAAAACTTAGCCACAACATCTATAAAAGCTTGGCCACAACACCGACAAAAACCTGACCAAGACGTCCCCTCATGGTTTGATAAAAAAAAAGCCATCGTGTCAGGTCTGGCTGTTTGAAACGGGAATTATGGGGAGGATTTTCTGTCCTGGCGTTTAGATTTAATTTTTCGACTTTTCGATCGGGCACGTGACTTGTGTAGCCAATGGCTGGTAGTTGTCAGACCGGAAGTCGCCGCGTGCGTGAACGCCGTAATGAAATTACTCGAAACGAGGCTCGGCCAGAAAATACAGGCTAAAAGTTGCTAAAGGTGACAGCAGTCTGTTGCAGTAGAAAATAAATAAATAAATATAAATAAATAAATATGTATCTCTCTCTCTCTCTCTATATATATATATATATATATATATATATGTATATATATATATATATATATATATATATATATATATATATATATATATATATATATATATATATATATATATATATATATATATACAAGCGTACTCGTACCCGCGCTTTGCCGCGGGAATAGAAGAAAGTCTGACGAAATGTATTAGAAGGGTTTCATCAATGCATTACCAATCATATATTCTTAGACGCGTGACCTTGTTTTCTAAAACTGAGTTATGTAAATGTAAACAATGCCTGCGCTTGGATCATAAATATCGGGACACGGGTTTACCTACACTACCGCATGAAAACCTTGAGTGTACATTAATCACTCACCGAAATATTGTGGTAGAACACATTTCGGTGACCGCCCATGTATCAAGGACGTAGAGGGGCGCTCTCGGGAGGCCCCCGATTACACTATCGCAGAGGCGCAGCGAAAGGCCCCTGGTTACTTATAACTAACGTAGGCGCCACTTAGCATCCTGACACCCTTCTCGGGAGAATTCATCAAGTTTTATTGCACTCGGATAAATTGTGTCGAACAATGATGCAGATTACGTCATTCGCTAAAGTTACACAAATCAACAGGTTTTTTTTTCAACACGTAGAAAAAAAATTGTTTGACGTGTTATAAACATCAGTGTGGCTGATGCAATTTGTTAGCGTTACTAATGGTGTATTATTAGAAGCTCGATCCCAATTTCTGATTGGATCGTCTAAAAATAGATGCTAATGGCATAATTTGAAAAGTGATAAAACTGTTTGGATTTTTTTACGGAAAAATAGAAACATCCCAGTTAATAATCTAACCGTGGTTAATTTTTCTGATTATTAAAAAAATGTATTCCAGAGCCCTCAGCGGCCCATATGAGCCTTATGGGGCAGAAACTGAAATTTTCGTTCGCAGCCAAATTTCAGTCTACCAGGACTCAGGTGGACACATCTGATTCTATTAAGTGAGCGACTATAACGCCCCATCTTAACTATTGTCTATCACACTGTTTAGAACGAACGTAGTCGCCATAGCGCTCACGGGAAAGACCAGGGCACCAAACGCATCCTGCTGGCTGCCGCTCGTGCGAAATAAAATACCCCCCCCCCCCCCCGCCCCACAGAAACCTTCTCCAGAGTATTCATCCGACCTTCATTCTTTTAATTTTTAATATATCGTATATAGAGAAGAATTGCATCCTCCAGGCACCGCCCTTGTGAAATTTTAAAAAAAAAAAGATTTTTCTACAGAAACCATACCTAAAGTGTTCTTATCAGCTCCCCAAAGTTTGATGGCGATCGGATGAACGTTGTTAAACCGCAATCGACATTTATTTTTATATACTGTATATAAAGAAAAAGGTGTATTAACGCATAAAAGACAGATACACACACACACACACAGACATTGCTTTATATATATATATATATATATATATATATAGAGAGAGAGAGAGAGAGAGAGTCAGACAGACAGACAGACAGACAGACAGACAGACAGACAGACAGACAGACAGAAAGACAGACAGACAGACAGACAGACAGACAGACAGACAGACAGACAGACAGACAGACGGACAGACAGACTGACTGACTGGCAGACTGACTGACATACAGTGTTGTGAAGGTCAGTATTGTGAAGGTCACAGCGTTTGCATGATGTCCTTGATACTCGCATGAGCTGGGTGAGCTAGACGAGTTGAGAAGACAAGAGGAAAGTAACGAGGCACTCGACAATCTCAAGCAGCAATCAGCGGACGCCCAGCACCACTGCGGGACAGCTTGCCTTTGATTAACTCACAGTCCCCTGAAATAAACATTCCATTTTCTACTCGCTACCTCCAGACGGAAATGAACTTCTCGCTCTAAATGGAGTGGTTTATTTATTTATTTTCTGGGGGGGGTCGATACCGTGCTGATGTGGTACACTGGGCCAAACATTGACATCTTCTGTCTTGGTTCATAGCTGTAATATGGGGGGGGGGGGGGGGGCTAGAGCTAGGGTAATGGGGGGGGGGGGGGTAAATGAGCGACCTACTCTGGGATTATAGGGTAACTACCATACCACCAGACCCAGCAATGCGGGCGGGGAGAGGGGGCAGCTAGTTTAGGGGGCCCAAAAATCTGACCAAAGATATTATTTTGTTTACTTACATTTTGGTAAGGATTTGTAAAAAGCAGCAACAGATCTACTACAGCAGTGATAGCTCTACACTACCACTCAATGTCAGAAGAGGCAAACTACGTGAACTGTAGCGTGAAAGTTCGGCAAACGTTCGCACTACTTCATGACATATTACCCTTCCTTAAATAATTACATGTGTCCGTAAAGCTCATTTAAATAATTTTGTACTGAGCTAATTAAAAAGTCATTGCTTCTTTTAGTTATTATTTAAATAAGACTTACAATGAAAATGAATTTATTCGAAATTTACACTATAAATAATTAAAAAATGTTACGAACACGAGAAACCATTCCACACGTCTAACTCCCGTCCTTAGACTTGCTAGTGAAGAAAATCACATTTTTCAGCGGGGATAAAATATAATAAAAACATTTGAAACTGGATGACTAAAGGCCCGAAATGAGCTTGATGCTATTTTTACAAGCTTTTATTTAACTCACTTCCTCTGTCGTCGCCAGTCTGTCGTCAGTCTAGAATAGTATAGATCGAAACGCAGGAGTGAAAATTCGGAAACTTCTACTTGACCGATACGATTCACATTTGACACGTGGGCCAAGACATGAAGACAATGCAATCTGAAACTAAATTTGACTTAACTGGATGCCTAATTAATTTTTTATGAATTAATAAAAATTTGGACCGAATTAGTAGGCATGTCTAGCCAACCACACCACACGCGTCATCACCTTCAATAGCTGCGCCATCACGTTCAATGGCTGCGTTCAAAAACCATTGCGCGCCTACTGAACGTGATGTTCAGTGGGCGCGCAATGGTTTTTAGTCATGTAACTCTATTGTAAATAAAACATGTAAAGTACTGAAAAAAAAAATCATAAAAAACGTTTTAATAACAAGCTTTTATGTAATAATGCACTAAAAAGTAGAAAATAAATTATAGACTACTATTTAAATAACTATAAAGAAAAGCGTTGGTGTCTTCCTTAACATTAGTAAAGGTATCCAATAGATACTAAAGTGACCCACGCTTTTCTTTATAGTTATTTCAATAGTAGTCTATAATTTATTTTCTACTTTTTAGTGCATTATTACATAAAAGTTTGTTATTTAAACGTTTTTTTATGAATTTTTTTTATGTGGTGTGTTGATTCACGATGGTTAGGCCTATACATAATATTCACATTAGAAGACAAAAATACGGAAAAAAAGACAAAATAAATTTATTTTACAAACACCGGACCATAGGTCAAGGTCGAATGGGACCGGAGGCTCCTTCTGCGTTTTCTCGTGGTGACGTCACAGTTTACATTGCACGTGTTGCCTCGACAGGTGCTGACGTCACAGTGGAGGTACGCCGTGACGTCATGACTGTTACTACCTGGAAAGTGAAAGGCCTGGACACTAAAGCGGACCTGCCCGACCCCCGGGCTAGGTTGTGGGTGGACAGCCCGGCTGGCGGGACACCTGCAGATAGGGAGGTGGGGGGGGGGGGCCATTAAAGGTTGGCAGAGTTTTGCCACAGTCGTTTTCTATCTTGATAATTTTTACCAGTTTTTGTTGCGACAGTCTTTCGTTCCTAAATTTTACCGCGATTATTTTTTATTGTGGAAAAAGTCACAGGAAATAAAGTCACCGGAAGTAAAGTCACAGGAAATAAAGTCACCGGAAGTAAAGTCACAGGAAATAAAGTCACCGGAAGTAAAGTCACAGGAACTAAAGTCACAGGAAATGAAGTCACCGGAAGTAAAGTCACAGGAAATAAAGTCACAGGTTAAATCAACAAACGATGACATCAACAAACGATCAATTCAATGTATGACAAGATAATACGTGCGAAGTATGTATGTTTGGTAACACACATACAAATGTCGTGTGTGAATTATGTAGATTTTAATTCCGTTATAGAATAGAATAAAGTAGAATGTCCCACCCTTCAGAATTTTCCCATGGCTTTTAGATACCAACTTTCAGTGTGAAATGGAAGAAGACATAGTTAATATAATTTGTTGTTCTCGTGGCAACAATAGTTCAGCCATCTGTGCTGCCCACACACATCGCCCTCTGTACACCACAAGCATAGTTCAGCCATCTGTGCTGCCCACACACATCGCCCTCAGTACACCACAAGCATAGTTCAGCCATCTGTGCTGCCCACACACATCGCCCTCTGTACACCACAAGCATAGTTCAGCCATCTGTGCTGCCCACACACATCGCCCTCAGTACACCACAAGCATAGTTCAGCCATCTGTGCTGCCCACACACATCGCCCTCTGTACACCACAAGCATAACATCAAGCAACAATGTCGACACTGGCGATGAAGCAAAGCGTCAACAATACACAATCATCATCTTTTCTCGTTCGTGCCCACGACACATGGGGCAGAGAGCTCGACATGAGGGATAGTGTGGTCAACACTATGTCCAGCCTTTGTTTCCCAACTTGAGTTAGGTACCCATCAGAGCTGGGTTGACTCAAGGACTTTCGACTGACTTGAACCAGGATTCGAACTCAGGACTTACGGGTAAGCGTTCGAGCTCTCTACCATCCCATTACAATACACAATGCAGATAGACAAGCCTGACAGAGAAAGGCCTACGGCAAACAAACAAAGAAAACAAACAAACAAACAAAAAACAACACACACACACAAAACACAGGCATGTACCTACATTTCTTTTCAAATTATTTTTTCTACAGGTATTCAAATGAATATGTAATTAAATTTGAGGCTGCTGTATAAATTATATTATAGAACTTTCAAATTTTTTGAAGATCAAAGACAGATCTATCTATCTATCTATATATCTATCTATATAATACTGAAACTCAAGTTTGTTTACATGTTTGAATATTTATTTGTTTGCCTGATTTGGTACTGTAATGAAACTGCTCTATATGGGGGGCTGTAAAATAGTATGTAAGTAGAGAACAATTTTTAATTGCAGACAGACTGTTATTCACACATTTATTTAAAGACGTTAATTAATTTATTGATTTATTCATAGGTAGATTAACCACATTAATTTTAAAGTTTTAGAATAATGGCTTAACTTTGACTGAATAGTGATGTTTGATAACTCATTTTTTAGTTGTTTTTTTTAATTTGTTATTGGGGAGAATCTGCATTATATGTAGAGCTGTAAAATAGGATTTTGGGTGGTAAATATTGTTCCTTCTTAAACACACTGTTAATTACAAAGTAATTTAAACCCGTTAATTAATTTATTGATATATTCATAGGTAGATTAACCACATTAATTATAAAAGTTTAGAACAATGACTCTAGTAATAGTAGAACAATTAATTTTCTTTTTACAACAATGTTTTCAATTGTTTTTCCTAAGACCTATATGTGAATGATAAGGTTGTCTATCAGGACCTCAAGGGGCACAGGGCAGGTGAAGTAGTGTTCACCTATTTCTATGTTCTCAGCATATAAAGGGATAGTGTGGTCAGAGCCATGCTCGGCCGGAATCGTTTTTTTTTAAAATTCAAACATGTCTGAGACTTAGAGGGACATTGGGCAGGTGAAGTAGAGTTTAGTAGAGTTTTTAAAATATAAAAAACGTCTTTTTGAATGTGGGGTCTGGTTATTTTGGGATGATAAGTGCTGACAGACGTGATGCCATTTATGGATGACCCCCCCCCCCGAAACCCACAGTTATCTAACTAGATAACGGGTAGTCTAGTATACTACTAAAACTCAAGTTTGTTTACATGTTTGAATATTTTTTTTTTTTTCTGATTGACTATTGTAAATGGATCTACTCTATGTGTAGAGCTGTAAAATAGTATATAGGTAGGGAACAATTTTTGTTTTCAGACAGACTGTTAATCACAAATTTATTTAAAGACGTTAATTAATTTATTGATTTATTCATAGGTAGATTAACCACATTAATTTTAAAGTTTTAGAACAATGGCTTTCTTTGACAGAATAGTGACGTCACAAGTTTTGTTTACTTTTTAGTACAATAACATGGCGGCTTCTATCGAAGAAGATTGTGTTCCCATTCCAAAGCTTAACGCGTTCTAAGGCTAATTTTCTTTAGGCTATAACTTTAACAATACGTCCGTTAGCTGTATTTATTATGTTCCAACACTTATATAAATTTTCAACTGTCTTTTTCATTTAGTTTTACAATAAATTTCTCTAGCTTTACAATCTGTTCAAGAAAGTTATTTATAGATCTAGATCTAGAATCTAGGTCAAATCAAAGATTTATTAGCTATAAATACAATCCAAAAATAAACTAGACTTAAGCAAACCAGTCATAGATTTAGAATATAGATAATTCTATCTAGATTTAGATAATAATGAGTTTCTATATACTAAACTATTTTAGACCTTTATTATTTTATATAAATCTGTTTGGAATATACTAATTTGGAAATGCTGGATCCAGGGCCTATTTGCGTAGTTTAAGATTCATACGCGGCTTCAATACCTCTAATTTTGCAAAATTATAAACGTAAATTCTAGATACAGCTCAGTCGTAGATCTAAAATATAGATAATTCTATCTAGATTTAGATAATAATGATTTTCTATATACTTAACTATTTTAGACATTTATTATTTTATATAAATCTTTGTTTGGAATATGCTAATTTGGAAATGCTCGATTCAGGGCCTATTTGCGTAGCTAATGATTAGATCTAGAGATTCTAGATCTAGCAAGAGTTACGCAAAAACTACACTTAAGACTTAAGCAAACGAGTCGTAGAATCTAGATCTAGATAATTCTATCTAGATCTAGATAATTTCAGACCTTCATTATTTTATATAAATCTGTGTTTGGCTAATTTAAAATAAAATCAATTTAATTTGAAAGTTACTACTACTAGACTTAGATCTAGATCTATGTGCGCAGAGCCGGCGTTAGGAAAACGCGGGGCCTAGGGCCAACCATCCGCGCGGGGCCTTTCCATTATATATATATATATATATATATATATATATATATATATATATATATATATATATATATATATATATATATATATATGTATAAAGGCCTATATAATGTGATGTACACATAATAACACAAATGTTTTGGAGTTTATAAGCTTATGCCAAACTTTCCACTATAATAACAGATTTTTATCTCTCCCATGTATAAACTCAACGTTCTTAGTTTTTTTTCCTTGCTAAGATATTAAATCAGTTTTGACAGTTATGTAATTCATACCAAATCACTTAAGAAATTTTAATAATTAGGAAAATAAAGTTTACAATACAGCGAACTCGGCCTGATGTATCAAAACAGTATAGACTTCAAAATTTGTTAGGAATTCATACAATATTTTAAAACCAAAATCATAATTAAAAAAATGTCTTAAGCACTCTACAAATGTCGTGTTTTAAAGTTCACCAAAGTATCAGATATAAATTGAAAGACCGCGTTTATTGGGGGAATATCAATGACTACTAAATCACTACCCTTCATTGCCTTCAAAGATTCCCCTTCCTCCATAAAAGTTGTGCGATGAGGACCATTCGCTGACTATATCATGTCAGCACCATCGGAAGACGATTGAATAAAACAATTTGGATGAATTCGCTAAATTAATCATTCTGTCTTGGAAAGGGTGAATCCTTAAGGTGACACAACATAACAACAGTTTTAACTTTCTTCCAAAAAATAATAATAAATCACCCTGTTTAATGCCCCCCCCTCCTGATATAGAATCCTAACCCCCCCCCCCCCCCTCGTCGCCCTCCTCCCACCCCTCTGCACGCAACTGAATGTTAATTTTGTTATACCAAGACAAGTAGGCCTACATATAGAGTTTCTTCCAGGCATCTCTTCGGGGGGGGGGGGGGGGGGGGGCTGAAAAAATTCTACCGCTTCCCCCCCCCCCCCGAAAATTTCAAGTGCCCCCCTCCCCCCCCCCCCCCCCCCCCCCCGGAGAAAAAAGTCTGGAAGAAACACTGTACATATACGACATTATACGACATCTACAACAAGAAAGTCAGGACTAGGGTTCATCAGGTCACTAACTGTCTACTACAGACATCCCGTCTGCTCACTAAAAGGACGTCTTCATGGGTCCGCATACAATAGGGTATCTCTTTACGTCGTGGGCTAATTCTCGACCGCCATCTCCAGTCAGCTCAGGTCAAATGCCAGGCGACCGTACCCTACACAAAGGGGAGGTGTGACACTGTTTTTGTATCGAATTACGGACTTTCCCAGTTCAGGTGGGACTCACCAACATCAAACGTGGCCTCAGTTATAACAATCAACAACGTCGGCATTCGACCATTTAGTTTTTCCCAATTGAATTCAGAAACAATTTTTTAAAGTTTACAAACTGATTCAGATAACAATGACATTGCTGAAGCGCGGGGCCCCTTCAAGCGCGGGGCCTATGGCCACCGCCCCGTTCGCCACCCCCTAACGCCGGCTCTGTATGTGCGTAAATCAAGTTGCATAAGGAGACTCAAAGTATTAAACTATAGTATAAAAAAACATCTGTGACGTCACGAGTTAAATAGCTAAATTGTTAGTGTAGTCGGCTTGCATGCGGGAGGCACGGGTTCTAGACCATACGTCAATTTATAAATTATTTTTTTCAATTTTTATTTTATTTTTTAGATGTGAATGATAAAGTTGCCTATCTGAACTTGGCGGGATACAGGGCAGGTGAAGTAGAGTTCATCTGTTTCTTTGTCCTAAGCATTTGAAGGGATAGTGTGGTCAGAGACATGCCCGGCTGGAATCGTTTTTTTAAACGATAAAAACATGTTGTCTGAGACTTGGCGGGACACTGGGCAGGTGAAGTAGAGTTGAGTAGGTCACCTGTGACGTCAGTATATGAAGGGATAGTCCGAAATCGGTGTTTTCGGTGTTTTTAAAAGATAAAAATCATCTTTTTGAATGTGGGTCTTGTTTTTTGTGACGATAAGTGACAGACGTGATGTTTTTATGGATGACCCCCCGAAACCCACAGTTATCCAACGGATGACGGGTAGTCTAGTATACTACTAAAACTCAAGTTTGTTTACATGTTTGAATATTTATTTGTCTGATTGACTATTGTAAATGGTTCTACTCTATGTGGAGAGCTGTAAAATAGTATGTAGGTAGAGAACAATTTTTGTTTTCAGACAGACTGTTAATCACAAATTTATTTAAAGACGTTAATTAATTTATTGATTTATTCATAGGTAGATTAACCACATTAATTTTAAAAGATTAGAAAAACGACTAGATTCGACAGAACAGTAACGTCACATTTTTTGTTTTCTTTTTAGTACAATAAAATGTCGGCGTCTATCGAAGAAGATTGTGTTCCCATTCCAAAGTTTAACGCGTTCTAAAGCTAATATTCTGTCGGCTATAACTTTAACAATACGTCCGTTTGCTGAATTTACTACGTTCCAACACTTAAAATCAATTTTCAACTGTCTTTTTCATTTAGTTTTACGATAAATTTCTCTAGATCTAAAGATCAGCTGTCGAAGGAAGAACATGTTATGAAATCTAGATTTTAGATCTAGATCTAGCTCTAGGTCACTAGACTACGTAAATTCTAGATCTAGACTTAATGCAAATTCTACATCTATAATCTATTTCAGGCCTTATTTTATATAAATCTTTGTTTAGCTTGAATGAACATCTAATTCGAGAATACATCGGATTTATCTATCTAGGTACTAGGCAGTGTTTCTTCCAGACTTTTTTCTCCGGGGGTCACTTGAAATTTTCGGGGGGGGGGGCGGTAGACTTTCTTCGGGGGGGGGGGGGGGCGGACACTGTTAAAAGTATATATTTTCTATATAAATTAAATAAATTTCATTTCGTTCGGGGGGGGGGGGGCGGTAGAATTTTTTCGGGGGGCTTTGCCCCCCCCCCCCTCCCCCCGATGAGATGCCTGGAAGAAACTCTGGTTCTAGAGCTAGATATAGTAGGATTACTCGCCTTTTGAGAAAATTATTTATAGATCTAAAAATATCATGTGGCCAAGAAAGTTATTTATAGATCTAGATCTAGAATCTAGGTCAAACAAAAGATTAATTAGATACATACCAAAGATTAATTACATAAAAATACAATCCATTTTATAATCATAATACATTTTTTAGTCCTTAAATACTTGATATAAATCTTTGTGATTTATCTATCTAGATCTAGATTTATCTAGCTAGAATAGGTCTAATGAGTCTAATGATTAGATATAGATTCTAGATCTAGAATTTCTTGATCTAGAATCTAGATCTAGCAAGAGTTACGCAAATACTAGACTTAAGACTTAAGCAAACGAGTCGTAGAATCTAGATCTAGATAATTCTATCTAGATCTAGATAATTTCAGACCTTCATTATTATATATAAATCTTTGTTTGGCTAATTTAAGATAAAATTTAATTTGAAAGTTACTACTACTAGACTTAGATCTAGATCTATGCGCGTAAATCAAGTTGCATAAGGAGACTCAAAGTATTAAAGTATAGTATAAAAATTCTTCTGCGACGTCACGTGTTAAATAGCTAAATTGTGAGTGTAATCGGCTTGCAAGCGGGTGGCACAGGTTCTAGACCAATACGTTAATGATTTTTTAAAATATTTTCAATATTTATTTTATTTTTTAGATGTGAATGATCAAGTTGCCGATCTGAACTTGGCGGGATACAGGGCAGGTAAAGTAGAGTTAATCTGTTTCTTTGTCCTAAGCATATGAAGGGATAGTGTGGTCAGAGACATGCTCGGCCGGAATCGTTTTTTTAAACGATAAAAACATATTGTCTGAGACTTGGCGGGCCACTGGGCAGGTGAAGTAGAGTTGAGTAGGTCACCTGTGACGTCAGTATATGAAGGGATAGATAAAAATCATCTTTTTTAAATGTGGGGTCTGGTTTTTTGTGACGATAAGTGACAGACGTGATGTTTTTTATGGATGACCCCCGAAACCCACAGTTATCCAACGGATGACGGGTAGTCTAGTTATTATTAAAAACCATAATGTTTTTACAATTTATAAATATTATGTTACTAAAAAATCACAACCCATATTTATATAGAACTACACATAACATTTTCTTAATTTTAAACAAGTTAATCAAAATATTTCTTAATACAGATTTGTAACTTTTTTGGGTGACTTTTTTTCTGTGACTTTTTTTCCGTTCACTTAATTTTTATCAGATTTTGTTCCGATAATTTTCCAGATTTTATCCGGAAAGTTAAAAAAAAAAAAACCTTTGGGTCACGAGAACACGTGATTGACCTACCCGTCTCTGATTAGTGAGAACCTTGTGCTGTCGTCTGCTGATGATGTGGGCGTGGCCCAGCACTGAACAATTCTCACACCTGTGTCGTCTTGTGGGCTAGCGAGAGAAACTTCTAGAAACAGCTCACCAGTGGCGGGAACCTACACGACATCATAGAATGTAAGCACACACACGGTAGGTCACCTCCCCAGCAATCAACTGCACCCACACTTAAACTATCACCAACCTCCCCAGCACCCACCTGTCTAGCACCCACCTCCCCAGCACCCACCTGCCCAGCACCCACCTGTCTAGCACCCACCTGTCTAGCACCCACCTCCCCAGCACCCACCTGTCTAGCACCCACCTGCCCAGCACCCACCTGCCCAGCACCCACCTGTCTAGCACCCACCTGCCCAGCACCCACCTGTCTAGCACCCACCTGCCCAGCACCCACCTGTCTAGCACCCACCTGCCCAGCACCCACCTGTCTAGCACCCACCTGCCTAGCACCCACCTGTCTAGCACCCACCTGCCCAGCACCCACCTGTCTAGCACCCACCTGCCCAGCACCCACCTGTCTAGCACCCACCTGCCCAGCACCCACCTGTCTAGCACCCACCTGCCCAGCACCCACCTGTCTAGCACCCACCTGCCTAGCACCCACCTGTCTAGCACCCACCTGCCCATCACCCACCTCCCCAGCACCCACCTGTCTAGCACCCACCTGCCCAGCACTCACCTGTCTAGCACCCACCTGCCCAGCACCCACCTGTCTAGCACCCACCTGCCCAGCACTCACCTGTCTAGCACCCACCTGCCCAGCACCCATCTGCCCAGCACCCACCTGTCTAGCACCCACCTGCCCAGCACTCACCTGCCCAGCACCCACCTGCCCAGCACCCACCTGCCCAGCACCCACCTGCCCAGCACCCACCTGCCCAGCACCCACCTGCCCAGCACCCACCTGTCTAGCACCCACCTCCCCAGCACCCACCTGCCCAGCACCCACCTGCCCAGCACCCACCTGCCCAGCACCCACCTGTCTAGCACCCACCTCCACAGCACCCACCTGTCTAGCACCCACCTTCCCAGCACCCACCTGTCTAGCACCCACCTGCCCAGCATCCACCTCCCCAACACCCACCTGCCCAGCAATCACCTGCCCAGCACCCATCTCCCCAGCACCCACCTGTACCGGGTACCTTGTGATCTCCTGTCTGTAGTCTGGGCCAGAGAATTCCTTGAGGAGAAAATTTGCCTCGTTGTCATCTACTTCGTGTATTGGTGCCACAGTCACGCTCTGGTCGAGACAAACCACGTTGTTAGTGTCACGCCATTTGATTTCACGTTGTTAGTGTCACGCCATTTGATGTCACGTTGTTAGTGTCACGCCATTTGATGTCACGTTGTTAGTGACACGCCATTTGATGTCACGTTGTTAGTGTCACGCCATTTGATGTCACGTTGTAAGTGTCACGTTATTTGATGTCACGTTGTTAGTGTCATGTCATTCGATGTCACGTTGACGGGATCTAATCATACCTACTTATATTACAAGTAAACCTACCTACAGAATAATGAAACATCTGTAATCCGATTTACCTTTAGTCTAACCCAACTTACCTACAGTATGATAAAACCTACCTGAAACCCAACTTACCTGAAACCCAACCTACCTGAAACCCAACCTACCTGAAACCCAACCTACCTGAAACCCAACCTACCTGAAACCCAACCTACCTGAAACCCAACCTACCTGAAACCCAACCTACCTGAAACCCAACCTACCTGAAACCCAACCTACTTGAAACCCAACCTACCTGTAAACCAACTTACCTGAAACCCAACCTACCTGAAACCCAACCAACCTGAAACCCAACCTACATGAAACCCAACCTACCTGTAAACCAACCTACCTGAAACCCAACCTACCTGTAAACCAACTTACCTGAAACCCAACCTACATGAAACCCAACCTACCTGTAAACCAACCTACCTGAAACCCAACCTACCTGTAAACCAACTTACCTGAAACCCAACCTACATGAAACCCAACCTACCTGTAAACCAACCTACCTGGAAAGCCCCGTTGAGCTGTTGTTCAAGTTGAACGCGACAGTCCAAGACAATCTTCAATTCATCAAACACAACTGGGGCGGACACATCCAGGCTCTGGTGAGGTCAAGAGATGTGTTTGTGTCAGTGTGTCGAGTGGTGTGTCGTGTCAGTGTGTCAAGTGTCGTGGTGTGTAACGTGTCATGTGTCAGCAGTACTCACAGTGTGCACGGTGATCTGGTTGTGCACCTGCAGGTGGTCAGAGAACGAGCTGACCGTCGTGCCGCACGTGTTGTACATCACGTGACCGATGTAGTGAGTGCCGTTGTTGACCAGTTCACAGGAGGCGTCCAGTAGACTCAGCTGAAACACGCGCACACGTCAGCTACCTGCTCACACACACACACACGAGCACACGTCAGCTACCTGCTCACACACACACGTCAGCTACCTGCTCACACACACACACGTCAGCTACCTGCTCACACACACACACGTCAGCTACCTGCTCACACACACACGTCAGCTACCTGCTCACACACACACGTCAGCTACCTGCTCACACACACACACACGAGCACACGTCAGCTACCTGCTCACACACACACGTCAGCTACCTGCTCACACACACACACGTCAGCTACCTGCTCACACACACACACGTCAGCTACCTGCTCACACACACACACGTCAGCTACCTGCTCACACACACACACGTCAGCTACCTGCTCACACACACACGTCAGCTACCTGCTCACACACACACGTCAGCTACCTGCTCACACACACACGTCAGCTACCTGCTCACACACACACACACACACACGTCAGCTACCTGCTCACACACACACACGTCAGCTACCTGCTCACACACACATGTCAGCTACCTGCTCACACACACACGTCAACTACCTGCTCACACACACGCACACACGTCAGCTACCTGCTCACACACACACGTCAGCTACCTGCTCACACACACACACACACGTCAGCTACCTGCTCACACACACACGTCAACTACCTGCTCACACACACACGTCAGCTACCTGCTCACACACACACGTCAGCTACCTGCTCACACACACACGTCAGCTACCTGCTCACACACACACACACACGTCAGCTACCTGCTCACACACACACACACACGTCAGCTACCTGCTCACACACACACACACACACACACGTCAGCTACCTGCTCAAACACACACGTCAACTACCTGCTCACACACACACGTCAGCTACCTGCTCACACACACACGTCAGTTACCTGCTCACACACACACGTCAGCTACCTGCTCACACACACACACACACGTCAGCTACCTGCTCACACACACACGTCAGCTACCTGCTCACACACACACGTCAGCTACCTGCTCACACACACACACACACGTCAGCTACCTGCTCACACACACACGTCAGCTACCTGCTCACACACACACGTCAACTACCTGCTCACACACACGCGCACACGTCAGCTACCTGCTCGCACACACACATGTCAGCTACCAGCTCACACACACACGTCAACTACCTGCTCACACACACGCACACACGTCAGCTACCTGCTCACACACACATGTCAGCTACCTGCTCACACACACACGTCAACTACCTGCTCACACACACGCAAACACGTCAGCTACCTGCTCACACACACACGTCAGCTACCTGCTCACACACACACGTCAACTACCTGCTCACACACAAACACACGTCAGCTACCTGCTCACACACGCACACGTCATCTACCTGCTCACACACGCACACGTCAGCTACCTGCTCACACACACACGTCAGCTACCTGCTCACACACACACACGTCAGCTACCTGCTCACACACACACACACACACGTCAGCTACCTGCTCACACACACACGTCAGCTACCTGCTCACACACACACACACACGTCAGCTACCTGCTCACACAAACACGTCAGCTACCTGCTCAGACACACACACGTCAGCTACCTGCTCACATAAACACGTCAGCTACCTGCTCACACACACACACGTCAGCTACCTGCTCACACACACACGTCAGCTACCTGCTCACACACACACACGTCAGCTACCTGCTCACACACACACACGTCAGCTACCTGCTCACACACACACACACGTCAGCTACCTGCTCACACACACACACACGTCAGCTACCTGCTCACACACACACGTCAGCTACCTGCTCACACACACACACGTCAGCTACCTGCTCACACACACACACACGTCAGCTACCTGCTCACACACACACACGTCAGCTACCTGCTCACACACACGTCAGCTACCTGCTCACACACACACGTCAGCTACCTGCTCACACACACACACGTCAGCTACCTGCTCACACACACACGTCAGCTACCTGCTCACACACACACGTCAGCTACCTGCTCACACACACACACACACGTCAGCTACCTGCTCACACACACACGTCAGCTACCTGCTCACACACACACACACGTCAGCTACCTGCTCACACACACACACGTAAGCTACCTGCTCACACACACGTCAGCTACCTGCTCACACACACACACACACGTCAGCTACCTGCTCACACACATGTCAGCTACCTGCTCACACACACACACACACGTCAGCTACCTGCTCACACACACACGTCAACTACCTGCTCACACACACATGTCAGCTACCTGCTCACACACACACGTCAGCTACCTGCTCACACACACACGTCAGCTACCTGCTCACACACACACACACACGTCAGCTACCTGCTCACACACACACACACACGTCAGCTACCTGCTCACACACACACACACACACACACGTCAGCTACCTGCTCAAACACACACGTCAACTACCTGCTCACACACACACGTCAGCTACCTGCTCACACACACACGTCAGTTACCTGCTCACACACACACGTCAGCTACCTGCTCACACACACACACACACGTCAGCTACCTGCTCACACACACACGTCAGCTACCTGCTCACACACACACGTCAGCTACCTGCTCACACACACACACACACGTCAGCTACCTGCTCACACACACACGTCAGCTACCTGCTCACACACACACGTCAACTACCTGCTCACACACACGCGCACACGTCAGCTACCTGCTCGCACACACACATGTCAGCTACCAGCTCACACACACACGTCAACTACCTGCTCACACACACGCACACACGTCAGCTACCTGCTCACACACACATGTCAGCTACCTGCTCACACACACACGTCAACTACCTGCTCACACACACGCAAACACGTCAGCTACCTGCTCACACACACACGTCAGCTACCTGCTCACACACACACGTCAACTACCTGCTCACACACAAACACACGTCAGCTACCTGCTCACACACGCACACGTCATCTACCTGCTCACACACGCACACGTCAGCTACCTGCTCACACACACACGTCAGCTACCTGCTCACACACACACACGTCAGCTACCTGCTCACACACACACACACACACGTCAGCTACCTGCTCACACACACACGTCAGCTACCTGCTCACACACACACACACACGTCAGCTACCTGCTCACACAAACACGTCAGCTACCTGCTCAGACACACACACGTCAGCTACCTGCTCACATAAACACGTCAGCTACCTGCTCACACACACACACGTCAGCTACCTGCTCACACACACACGTCAGCTACCTGCTCACACACACACACGTCAGCTACCTGCTCACACACACACACGTCAGCTACCTGCTCACACACACACACACGTCAGCTACCTGCTCACACACACACACACGTCAGCTACCTGCTCACACACACACGTCAGCTACCTGCTCACACACACACACGTCAGCTACCTGCTCACACACACACACACGTCAGCTACCTGCTCACACACACACACGTCAGCTACCTGCTCACACACACGTCAGCTACCTGCTCACACACACACGTCAGCTACCTGCTCACACACACACACGTCAGCTACCTGCTCACACACACACGTCAGCTACCTGCTCACACACACACGTCAGCTACCTGCTCACACACACACACACACGTCAGCTACCTGCTCACACACACACGTCAGCTACCTGCTCACACACACACACACGTCAGCTACCTGCTCACACACACACACGTAAGCTACCTGCTCACACACACGTCAGCTACCTGCTCACACACACACACACACGTCAGCTACCTGCTCACACACATGTCAGCTACCTGCTCACACACACACACACACGTCAGCTACCTGCTCACACACACGTCAGCTACCTGCTCACACACACACACGTCAGCTACCTGCTCACACACACACACGTCAGCTACCTGCTCACACACACACGTCAGCTACCTGCTCACACACACACACACGTCAGCTACCTGCTCACACACACACACGTCAGCTACCTGCTCACACACACGTCAGCTACCTGCTCACACACACACACACACGTCAGCTACCTGCTCACACACACACGTCAACTACCTGCTCACACACAAACACACGTCAGCTACCTGCTCACACACGCACACGTCATCTACCTGCTCACACACACACGTCAACTACCTGCTCACACACACACGTCAGCTACCTGCTCACACACGCACACGTCAGCTACCTGCTCACACACACACGTCAGCTACCTGCTCACACACACGTCAGCTACCTGCTCAGACACACACACGTCAGCTACCTGCTCACACACACACACGTCAACTACCAGCTCACACACACACACACGTCAGCTACCTGCTCACACACACACGTCAGCTACCTGCTCACACACACACACGTCAGCTACCTGCTCACACACACACGTCAGCTACCTGCTCACACACACACACACACGTCAGCTACCTGCTCACACAAACACGTCAGCTACCTGCTCAGACACACACACGTCAGCTACCTGCTCACATAAACACGTCAGCTACCTGCTCACACACACACACGTCAGCTACCTGCTCACACACACACGTCAGCTACCTGCTCACACACACACACGTCAGCTACCTGCTCACACACACACACGTCAGCTACCTGCTCACACACACACACACGTCAGCTACCTGCTCACACACACACACACGTCAGCTACCTGCTCACACACACACGTCAGCTACCTGCTCACACACACACACGTCAGCTACCTGCTCACACACACACACACGTCAGCTACCTGCTCACACACACACACGTCAGCTACCTGCTCACACACACGTCAGCTACCTGCTCACACACACACGTCAGCTACCTGCTCACACACACACACGTCAGCTACCTGCTCACACACACACGTCAGCTACCTGCTCACACACACACGTCAGCTACCTGCTCACACACACACACACACGTCAGCTACCT